ACTACTACTACTACTATTACTACTACTACTATACTACTACTACTACTACTACTACTACTCCTGCTGCTGCTGCTACTACTACTACTACTACTACTATTACTACTACTACTACTACTACTACTACTACCACCGATAACGAGCATAGTCAACAAGAGGCTCACCAGCTGCTTGAGCCAGGACTTGGGGAACTTCGGGAGAGCCCTTCATTTCGCCTTCAGGCTCTTGACAGAGTACCTGCGGACGGTAGCTGGGTAGTTCTCTAAAGTAGGGTCCCTTTTTTAGGTCCCCAATATAGTACAGCACCCTTACAAAAAGGTCCCTAAAAGGGACCCTAATTAATTTAGAGAACTACCCAGATGCTAGTACTAGATTCGACAGTAATTTTTTAGGGTTTAGCGTCTAACCTTGTGTTGATGTTGGGGGCCTACGGTCTACAGGCTTAAGGTTTGTGATGCTCGAGGTCCAAGATTTAGGGCTTGAGGGCTAAGGCTTAGGGCCTTCTCGCTTAGATTTGTTTTAAGTTTAGGGTTCGTTCAGACAGAGGAGATCATGCTTCACAGCTTGTGCTGAGGATGTATGGGTCATTAACGGTTAGCTTTGTCGCTTGTTAGCATCTTGGCTTCGATTCAAGTGTCGGATGGCATTTGAGATCATCGTCACAGCTTATGACATATCTATGGTCTTACCTGGAGAAGTCCAGCCGCAGTGGAGCTCAAGCTCCTTCATTGAGATGCAAGAGTCAGTGTCAGGTCACAGACTGGTCCGCTCTAGCCAACCCTAAACCCAAACACATGCATTGCCAGCTGCTTTTCGGGACCCTTTCTCCGGGAACCCGAAAAACCCGACCTTGAGTCTGCCATGAGCCGAGAGCCTGTGCTCCCGAACTGTAACAGAGAAGCGTGGTGCTAGTCAGCCAGTCCTTCGGGTTCGTCATTATAGTCCCTAGGGTTCCTGATTATAGTCTTTAGGGTTCCTCGTTATAGTCCTTAGGGTTCCTCATCATAGTTCTTAGGGTTCCTCATTGTAGTCAGGTTTTAGTGTACACCGGAACTCTTTTAAAAAAATATCATAAGGCCTCGATAGTAAGTCGAAGCCGCCGGCAGGATAGTTTTCGATGAGTTCGACGACAAACATTTCCACGAGCTGGAGAGGGCACCGTCGCAAGTGAAATAGTACAGGGGTCGAAAAAATGAGTAATATTATTCCCTTACAGTCCCCCATTGGCAGTGTACTACAAGATAACCTTACTCTAATTAGCAAGGATCCTTCCTATATTGGATTTATCGGCTTTTGGTTGTGGGGTTGATAGCTGCAGGAGCTGATACTTAGAGCCGCAAGGTTCTGTGATTCAGAGGTTTACTGTATGCATAATTGTAAGTACAGCTGCGCAAACGCCAGGGACGAACTAGGATTCTCTCTTTCCACTTCGGACAAAGCCAAGCTGAGCAGTTTGAGGCCCTGAGTCAGTAGACCACTAGAGTGTCGGGCGCAGTGTTTGGATTTGCTGATGTAGCAGCAGGGCGTTCACGTGCACAGGAGTGCGTTGCTTCGTGAGTAACTCCAGGCCCGAACCAACCCTGGTCCCCACGCTGGAGCGAAACTCTCAGCCCTAAACCCTCAACCCTAAACCCTGCCCTAAACCCCATGATCTTGCCAGCCTGACCATGGCAACCACACGTTCGAAGCTGCAAGGCGCTCTGAGCACCGACTAACAAGTGCGAGTTTCACACGAAAGGACCCGTAATGCTGACCCAAGTATAGTAGGTTCCTCAATGAAACGACATCTAAGGAAAGGCAAACGACGTCTAAAGAAAGGTGCACCTTTCTTAAGCGTCTGATAGCCTACCCTAGTTTAGATCCTGAAGAGTGTAATCTGATTCAACCCTCCGCGAACAATCCGATCCACCCGCCGGTGAAGTTCATCTTTACGATTATGTGTCCACACTTCTGCTCTGAAAAAGCTGCACCATCCTCCGAAAATCATGTGAGCCATAAATCCTGCTAGGTATCGCGTCCCGCTGCCTACGTGTGGTTCACCGCTTTTGAGGTGGGACTGTTTCATTAAACGGTGCTGACTACTCCTGGTCGTCAGCCTGATTGTGGCCTTCTGTTTGTAGACGTGGAGGTCCATGATCTGTCCAATCCTCCTACCCAGGCCCACAAACCCTGAAGCTAAAATCTTTAGCTCTGAATCCCGTACATTTCTGAAGCCAGGGTAAAGCAAGACGTGCTGTTGGTGCTAGTGTTGAGTGTCGCACGACACGCAAATGCCATTCTGCCAGGTTCCGAACGGTCCGTCACAACAGCTTTTTGGAAACGAACTAGTCTCTGTGTGTGTGTGTGTGTGCGTGGGTGGTTGTATGTATAGTAATGCTGGTTTGCTAAGTTGCTGACGATGTGATGTGACATGATACGCTACTTGTATGATGTGAGAAAGGATATGATAAGGCATGACATGAGTCCATCCGATCTGATACGGTATGCTAGAACAAGAGATGACATGAAATACCATGACATGTGGAGATGTGAATCGATGTTTTGTGGTGTGATGTAATGAGATGTGGTATGATATGATAAGGTATGGTGAGATGCCTGATATTCTATGTAATTACACTCACATACATACTGCCATGACTAATAGTGCGTTCTATCCTGTTCGTTCCAGCATAGTCGGTTTTTACGACTATCATTTCTTATGTTTCTTATGGAAGTATTCTAGCTTGCTCTATCCTATCCTGTCCTATCCTGCTCCGGCTCTTTCTGATTTCTAGTCTAACTTCTTCTATGCTGATTACTGTATGCTGGTACATGTTTGTATTTTACGATAGAACAATGCTGTCTCCCACAGTACATACCAGGAACATTTGCACGAAGCGCACATGAGCTAACTTGTCTACCTATGTGTGTACTTATGTATATGTATGTATGCATGCATGTATGTATCAACAAATATGTATATATATATATATATTCATATGCATATATA